TTTTACTACTTACTACTATATAGTATAGTAATATAGTAATAATTTAGTACTATCTCCTTTTTTCTGATCATGAGGATAAAGGATAAAAAGACAAAAAAACAACAACACGCAAATAAGTTCAAACATCAATTCAATATCTACTATTTCCTGAATATTATGAAATTCAAGATGGCCGCCCCTGATGACGTCATAATATGCTAATTAGATTAGTATATTTACACCCCACATAAACTTTTGGTCATGCCCAACATTTTTCTAATTTACAGTAGATCTCTATCTTTAAGCCCTTTCAAGCCACAAGCTTTTGAAATCTTGATGTCAAAATCCAGCATTTTTTCCAAAAAACCCTGGCGCCTAAAGTGTTAACAGACATAGGCAAAGTGCATTAAATTTTATAACACATTAAGGTTATTGAATTAATAGCATGCGTAAATGTGTTAATATTCATAGACATAAATATATATATATATATATATATATATATATATATGTAAACATGTAGTTTTACAATTATTTGTTTTAATTTTAATATTTTATCAATACTTGGATGTAACAAATTAGCTCAAAAGGGAAATGTATATAATTACAATTAACCCTCTGGTGTTTTTCGGTCATTTTAGAATGAACAAAAAATGTTTTTTAAAATTTTAAAAATCGCTACTTCATCGGAATGGTATGAAACTCAATTACTTTTATGGAGCTATATGACCACAAAAAATATTGTGGACTTGATTTGAAAAAGCTAAATGGTCGTAAAAATAATAGTCACACTTGTGTTGTTCGTGGTCAAAAATGAATGGAAATACGCAAAAATACAAAAATACAGAGAATGTTTTGTGTGTACAATCTACAAATCATTCACGATGCAGAAAAAAAGCAATGAAGGGGTGACATTAAAATAATCTAAAATATCAAGAGTGCAGCTGCCGTACTTACTGTGAAAACAACAGCAAGCATTTGACATGATAAAGCATGAGATGCTTTTTCTTGTTTAGAAAAATTTATATGAATGTTTTTTGTTTGCTGATTGCTGGTTGGTTTGAATTTTCAAATTTCTTTCTTCAGCTCAGGCTATTCAATGCTCATAAATATAGCCTAATTTATATTCACGTGGCTTTTTTTGCTCCTTGGGAAACTAATAATAATGATATTTCAAGTCCAGTCAAATCAAATATGTCATGAATGTCATGTGGCGAGTCGTTTGAGATCAAATTAAGCAAGGAGTGAATGGAAGTCTGTAGCATAAGGCTTGTCCAGATGAATGTTGAAGTCGCCAAAGAATAAAAGTGGACTGCCATCCTCCGGGAATGAGGACAGCAGCCCATCCAGCTCCTCTAGGAAGGTGGCTAGAATTTGGCCAGGAGGGCGGTAGATTACCACAACCTGGAGTTTTATAGGAGCTGTTACAGTAATTGCATGATATTCAAAGGAGGTATAATTGCATAGGGGAGAGTGGGTTGAGTATTTCCAATTATTAGAAATGAGCAGACCAGTGCCCCCACCCCGGCCAACCTGACGGGTGGTGTGAGAAAAAGAGAAATTGTTAGCTAGAGCAGCTGGGGTTGCTGAGTCTTCTGGACGAATCCAGGTCTCAGTCAAGCCCAAGATGCTGAGTGTGGATTGTAAAGAAAAAGCCGAAATGAAGTCTGCTTTGTTGACAGCTGACTGACAATTCCAGAGACCCTCTTCCACTCAAAAAGACAAACAAATTATTTAAAGTCATAAATCATCTTTATTCATCAGTTTAACTGAATGAGCTGTACCTTTTCCTTCATGTTCAGACGTCAGGAGAATAACATAATGCTTGGTATTTTAATATCACACCTTATTACAGGAATATCTAGAGAATGTGATGTCACGCAGTGTTGAGTTCTGGGAAACTGCTTTGTTTGTCCGCCATACTGGGAGGATCGCGCTGCCTTTACGCTATTGAGTTTAGGGCAGTATTTTAATTTTCTGTTGTGATTGTGAAAAATATCACCATTGTATGTCATTGAGAATTGCAATAGTAACTCAGATCATCGTTCTGAGAGAAAACTGGACATTGCAGTTTTTCCCTCCTTTTCTATGTTTAAAAACACCAAGGGAAGCAAGTTATGGAGATGACGAGAAGACACCGGATAGTAAATCTATTAATAATGTCACTGATTAAACCCACTGCCTATCACTCCATAAAAAAAATCTAATTGCTGCATGTTTTTGAAAGTGTTGATTTGGTTTGGTTTAATAATTAATATTATCTTTGTGAGTATGACTCTCACTCAGCTTGTGCAGAACTTGAACAGGGACTTTCTAAAACGCTGAACACGAATAACACTTAATGTGGCTTAATGTACCAGGACAGTGATAAAGACCAAATTGTAAAGCATACTATGTGCAGATACGCATATGAGCCCAAAATATAAACGCAGCACATTTATTTACACATTAAGTGTTTTCCTCTCATATAAAGAAAACACTTAATGCACCGAGATTAATATTATATTATATAGTGATATTAAAAGACCACATTCTGTTCACACTTTACTAATAAAGCATAACATACTATGTGCAGGAAAACAGCCCAGAATATGATCTTTAAATATAACTGCCTGTCTTAATGCATAAGCCATGTTAAGCATTTTCTTTATTATGGTTTTCTGAAGGGAGAAAAATACTTAACGTGAAATTAAACTCATTGCGTTAATATTCTGGGCTCATCTGCATGTCTTTTAGCATCACTGTCAGCATTTTAAAATGCCACAAAACTGTTCACAAGCTCCCAAGCATTTGATTTTGGTTGTCATTTGTTGAAATAAATATAAAAATACAGTGTGTTCGTGTCTGTCCGCTGAATGTGACCCACAATCTCTGACTCTCCTCCGTGGTCATGGAAAAATTAATATTTACAATAACAACAATTATACTTAGTCATTTAAACGTTTCCAACAAAGAAATGGATGGACTTCTGCCAGCTTGTTGAACACAGAATTTTATTTTATTTGGATATTCGGCCATATGACACTGAAGCAGCAGCGAGCGTCCGGCGGGAGACACAGTTTTCACCGTAATCAAATCAACATTGTAAACAAAACTCTAAACTTGAGTGAAAACATCTAATTATCATGCAAAGCAATAAAATAGCTTCTCTTCCCTGCAAACCATACAATGAAGAATGTGAATATTTAACTTAAAAGCAAAAACAGAACAAAAGATAAGCAGATCTCCGTATTAATTTCAGCATTTGTAGCAGAGGACGATCCTCCCTGAATGGTAGCGGTGCCCCAGCATGCAACACTGCGTGACGTAGCTTCACATTCTCTATAGAAGAGTTATTTTCATTAGTTTCCTCCTGATTATTTTAGTTTTTCATTTGCATTTTGCTCTTTTGTGTTTTTCATCCCATGAATAATTCACTGAATGCTCTAAGAATCTCTGGTTTTTCTCCTCAAATCTTCACGTCTCTTTCCAGGTTTATTTTCATCAGATGCTTTAAAATGTAATTGATAACAGAGATCAGAAATGAATAAGAGACAGTATTTACTGGAATGTTTCTAAAGCAGGGAAATACAATATCTGTTATCTGTCAAAATGATGGAAATCATGAACATTTCTGATTCAGATGTATTTTTGATAGTACAGACAAATATTACTGTTGATTTCGTGGTCTGGTTTGAGACTCAAACACGCGTCTGACCGCTGTGTTTCTTCAAGCTCTTGTGAAGTTCAGGAAGAGATTTTATTGCTGCAGAATCTCTGAGCTTTAAACCAGTTCAGTCTCTGAAAAACACCTGAAAATAAAGAAAAAATTAAAGATAAAGATTAAAAACCATAAAAATCCCATAGACTTACATTGACGAAACTCCCAGAATCCCTTGAGACTCAATCAAGCCTAGAACATGCTAAATCATTCCAAATCATGCTAGCAATGTGATGATAATACTAGCAACTGCATAGCGAGACCCTAGCAACCACCCTGTGTGCCCTACCAACTGCATAGCAACTGCCTAGCAACCACCCAGAACATGTTATCAACAGCATAGCAACCACCCCAAGTACCCTAGCAACCACTCATTTAAGCTTCATTTCTGTCTAATATTTTTTTAATCTGTCAAACTAAAGCATTTGTTTACTCACTGAATGTGACTGTGTGTGTATTATCTAGTGTGGATCATGGAGGAGAATCCAGGATTACAGCAGGACTAAAGAAATGTACGTCCACACACACACACACACACACACACACACACACACACACACACACACAGCTGTAGTGATTGTTGTGTTATTAATGTCTCTGTTCTTGTGTTCAGATGGCTGTTTTCTCACACTGGATCCAAACACAGCACACACTCAACTCAGTCTGTCTGAGGAGAACAGAAAGGTGACACTTGTGAGAGAGAAACAGCCGTATCCTGATCATCCAGACAGATTTGATGATGTGTGGCAGCTGCTGTGTAGAGAGAGTGTGTGTGGACGCTGTTACTGGGAGATTGAGTGGAGTGGAGATGTGCATATATCAGTGTCATATAAGAGCACCAGCAGGACGGGAGACGATGTTGAGTGTTGGTTTGGATTTAATGATCAGTCCTGGAGTTTGTACTGCTCTCCCTTCAGTTACTCTTTCAGACACAATAACTTAAGGACTGATCTCCCTGTAAAGCCCATCATCAGCAGTAGAATAGGAGTGTATGTGGATCACAGTGCAGGAACTCTGTCCTTCTACAGCGTCTCTGACACAATGACACATATACACACAGTCCAGACCACATTCACTCAGCCGCTCTATCCTGGGTTTAGGGTTCATTATCAATCATCAGTGAAACTGTGTTGATGAATCAAAAGAGACTGACGAGAGATTCTACCCATAATGCTTTGAGCTGCATGATAAATCAGTGACAGTGAGATGTGTGTGTGTGTGTATGTGTGTGTGTGTGTGTGTGTGTGTGTGTGTGTGTGTGTGTGTGTGTGTGTGTATGTGATTGTTTTTGTGCATAAATAATAAAACACAATGAGAAGTGAACTTGAGATCAGATCTGAATTGATGTTTGTATCATGAATATAATCGATTCCTCACAAGACTGACATGAGCTTCAGGAGAGTTTCTGGCATTATAAAATAAAACATTAACCATAGCATTTAATAAAATATATTTATTGTAACTACAGTAAAGCTGTAGTCGGTTTTTTTTATTTATTTTTTTATTTTTATTTTTATTAACAATTTAATGGCAGTATATTTATGAACAAAAATCTTATTTTATAAAAAATGTTATTTACTAACATGTGTAAAATATGTACAATTAATTCTAAGTATTAGATATAATACAAATATTTAGCTGAAGTATTGTATTAATACTGGGCTCTTTTTAAATTAATTTAAATAATTAAAATTATAACATAGCAAATAATAATAATAATAATAGCAAATAAAATATGAATTTAATTTTATTATTATAAAAGTGATAACTAATCAATTAAGAAATAAATAATATTATTGTACTCTAAAATAAAAAATAAATTATTGTCAGGATTCTGGACTGTCTGTCGTGTTCCTGCCTCCTGTTTCTTTATACCCTTATTTGGTAGTTACTGTTTCCTGGTTTATTAAGTTCCATTTGTCTCAGCTGTGTTCTATTAATTATCCTGGATTACTCCTTACCTGTTTCTGTTCTCCCTGATTGCGTTCATGTGTTCATAAGCCCCAGTCTGTTCAGTTAGTGTTTGTCGGGTCTACTTGTTATGTACGTGTTTGCTCCAGCGCCTATTGTGTGGATTTCCCCTGTGTTCTATGGATTAAAGACTATTGATTGTGCTTCACGTTTCTCTCGTGCTTCCTTCCAACAGCGGACCGTAACAATTATGTATTAATAATATATATTTTTGAATTATAACAATTAAGCAATCAAAAACGTACTATTGCAATAACCATATTGCACTGTAAAATAAAAAGTCTGAATTTAATAAAACAAAATGATTATTTTCGTTATTTAAATTAATTACATTTTATATTGAAATTATATAAATCAACAAATGTTACAATGGCAATAATCTTAATGCACTTTAAAATAAAAAGTATTTAATAATAAAAATAATAATTAATATTCTTATATTGTATTAGTTATAATTTTATTATTTAGATTATACCCATCTTTAAAAAAAAATCCATCAAAACACTATTGCAATAATATAGCTCTTAGTGATATTGCTATACTATTATATATAATAATATAGCTCTATACTATTTTTTTACATATTGCTGCTCTTTTGTTGGTTTGATTGCTTCTATTGTCCTCATTTGCAAGTCGCTTTGGATAAAAGCATCTGCTAAATGATTAAATGTAAATGTAATATTATTGCACTGGTAAATAAACAGTCAGTATTTTTAATAATAATAATAACCAAATTTTATTTTATTATTACAAAAATAACTCATCAATAAAGAAATATGATTGCAATAAAACTATTGTACTGTAAAATAAAAACTCAGTATTTATTTTTATTATTATTAATAATAATAAATACTTTTTATTTTACAATACAATAGGATTACTGCAATCGTAACATATTTCTTTGCTCATTTGTTATATACTGAACAAAATTATAAACGCAACACTTTTGTTTTTGCCCCCATTTTTCATGAGCTGAACTCAAAGATCTAAGACTTTTTCTATGTACACAAAAGGCCTATTTCTCTCAAATATTGTTCACAAATCTGTCTAAATCTGTGTTAGTGAGCACTTCTC